GCACGCACGCATGTACGCACGCACATACGCACGCACCTCACGCAGAGCTCGAGGAGGAAGAAAGGGGAGAGATATTGAAAGGATCGTTTTTTGCCAGCTGATTTACTCTTACGAATTGGCGGTGCGCGAAGAAATATTTTCTTCAGCGCGATAAAAGATCAAAATAAACGGCGCACGCAGTGCGCGCATTCGTGACCGAAGGTGGTGCTGTAGCCGCGAAACGCGAGATTCTCTCTCGCTCGCGCGCGATAGCGATGCCGATGCCGATGGGCTGCGTGGATCCCCCTCTGCCCGTAGAAAGAAAGGATGCTTGAAAAAAATAAGAAACGCGAGATGTAATGCAAGAGTCGCGAGCGAGACGGAACGAAGCCACGGGCAATAATTCTCATATTTTAGGGAGGCAATTTCGAAGGCGAGTGCGCATACACGAGGGAAGAGCTGGATTTTCGAGGGCTGTACTTTTCGATAATTTATGCCAACGAGCCTCTCCCGCTTCGGCTCGGCCTGGCTCGGCTCGACTTTCCGAGAAGCGATTCCCTTCGCCGTGCCCACGGTTGCCCATCCGCGAAACTCCGTCCGGCGAAATAACTTTTGGATTCGGGCACGCGCGCGCGTGGCGTATCGCGACATTCTCTTTATCGGAAATTGCACACGGCGATTCCTGAATTTGCGTGGGGATATATCTGCTCTCGTTCGATACACTTTACAATCCCCCGAAATTTGTCCCCGAGCACGCACTAAATAACCATTTATGTAAATTTCAAAGACTATGTTTAAGATCAGAAGGCAGATTGGAACAACTTCACAGAAGTGTTAAAGAATTTTATTCTTTTTTTATATTGCATATATTTATATATTATACTTCCCTCAAAGAATATCTTCGAAATATCAATATATAGTATATATATAGTATATATATAAATGCTATAAAACCGAAAATTGTACCGAGCAAACCTATAAACGAAAAGCGTAAACGTGACCAATCGAGCGCGGAAACGGCGAAAGAAGAGAGAGGATAAAACAATGAAACAATTTAATAACACCAATGCGCGGTAGGCGGGAAAGAGAATGTGTACCCGTATTTATAGGTGTTCCAGTAGGGCAGGTAGTAGTACGTGGAAGGATTTAAGATACGCGAGACCAAGCCAGGCCGTAGCTCGGATGCAGATGATCCAAGATTATAGACATTAGGGACATTAGCCTTGGCTTTATGCGATTCTTCGGTGGCCCCGGGGTCCCCCCCGGCTCCGCATTCGTTCCTCGCATATACAATATACGCGCGTGCACCGTGCGCCTGCCCCGCGTGAAATGATTTAGCGGCGTTTTTCCCGATACATATTCCGAGAACCGCGTAGATAACATTTGTGGTATCATTAAAAAATTCAAACGCGTGTGCAGCTAAGAAACTATCAAAGGATTCTTGTTTTTCGACGACGCCTAATGTACGTAATATAAACGCGAAAGAAAGCACGCATCGCCACGGTCAAGGGAACGCGTTCCGCACGTGGAAAGGGTAAATCGTCGACGAGGTAGAGCAAGAGGGCGAGAGCGAGCCGCAATCGAAAGACGAATGAAACGTCGAAGGCGACGATTACGGGAGTGACTATCCTATAATCCACCGGCGAGGATGGTTTCTTAGATCCTGCGCTTGATTGGTAATTGGATCCTACTTCGGTATATAGGTATATACCCGCGGATGAAGAAGGTCGTTTACCCCTTTCGATGGAGCAATCTTCTCGCAGTGAAATAGTCAGTCCGAGAGAAATCGAATCATTCACTTCCTCCGCTTCCGATTGCGCCTAACGCGTCGATCGTATTTATCGCGGGATTACCACGCGCCAAACAAAGATGAATTAATAAAATAACTCAATCAAAGAACGCTGAGAGTAGCAGCGGTCTAAAAGATTGAGAGACAAAAATCGTTTAAATTAAATTGTTCTAAACGAAAAAATTTTTCAAATATATTTTTACACTCTCCTGTAAGATTCACAATTTTTACGTGCTTCTCGTATATATAAAATAAGACGTCACAGAGACGACGTGCCGTATGCTCGCTTCGAGATCCACGGCGTCCATACATAAAGAGGAAGCCGAATCGGGGGAGCAAACCGCAGGGATGTGTCGCGGCGGTTTAAGGATGATGAAGGTGGGACCTCTGGCATTCCTCGACGGACAACCGCAGACAGTGTCGACACGGTTGCATAAACTCAATGGTCCATTACCGACAGTGTTTACGATTTTTCAATTACTGACTGGCTGGTGGAAAATCATCGTTACGCCGAAGACAAGGTCGTCCCATCAAAAAGATTCTCGATAGGCGGGTATGCGATTAAGCTGGGAAGTAATACGGACATTATCGATCCAACCTTAATCTTTTAGGGACGAGTGTTGCATACGTGCAACTTTCACTTTAAAATAAAATTCGGAATCTGCAAATTGGTTACTTAAGAATTGAAGATGATATGTATGTACGTATAATATTTTGAATATTAAAATAGAGTGCTTCTTATTGCCAAAAAGGCATCGATATATGTATATCTAAATCTATATATATATTTCTGAATTTTTTAGTTACAAGTTATTTTTTAGCAAAATTAACAAAAAAATTTTTTTTAATGATAAGGCGATACTACCTCTAGAAGATTAAGGCTATATTAATATGAAAATTTCCAAAAATGTTTTGAATATAAAAAAATTTTTAATATTCCGATCGTACAATATCTATATATTATATAAAATTAATAAATAAATCCACTTATACAAAAATTTATACAAGAAAGTACTTTCCTTTTGGATCAAAATAATTGATACAAGTTATGATTATAAATTTATTCTCCGCGGAAAATTTCGCCCATGACCGTCATCATGTCATCCGAAGTATATTCAACCGCGAAGCTTATAACGCTAGAAGAAAGCCGCTGAACATTAACGCACGTGCAATATTGCGAGGTTGCAGGTGTAGTCCGCACGTGATGGTAACGTCTGCTTAAAGATTCAGATACTAAAACACTGTAATATCGCTTGGGAACTCGCGTTCGTTCTAAACCGACTTTTGTTCGGTAGTAAAGTCTTCGCTATTCCCTATTATTGATATTGGTAAATGGATTTCCGATTGGCGACTGCAGTAACCTTCTTTCCTTTATTAAGTTATCTGTGAGCATCCGCGCATTTGATCGATCTATCAAAATTTATTAGATCCATTAGATCCATTCTGTACTATAAGTTACTATGAATGCTACAAAAAGGTAAAAGCTCACAATATCAATTTAAAGTCTGTCTGATATAGTAATAAATATTAGAAATACGGAAAAAAATGTAATATATAGGTATTCCTTTCGTTACTTCGTGTAAAAAATTAACTAACTCTTCCGAAACTTCCCAAATGGGCGATGTTACTAAATTTACGTTATCACCGCGGTAAAAAGCATCGGCCACTTGGGGCGCAACTTTGCGCAGTTAAACTCGGGCGGAGAAGCGTCCGAGCAGGTGCAAAGGATTCGAGCGGACAGTTTTACCTCGGAAATAGAGCAGCAAGAGATAGAACGCGCCTTTGATGACTCAGGCTAGGTTCCATTCTGAGAAGAGCGAAACCTCAAGCGAGCGGGTTTTCGCTCTCGTATAGAAATTAGTGATAATTATATAGGACTAGCACCTGCACGCAGGTGCAAAAACTCGGGGAACGCTCGTTGCTGTCATGGTGCTCGTGCTCTCTTCTGGACGAGCAGCCATGAGTCATTGTCGAAGGGAGAGAAACATCTACCCGAACCGGATATACCTTCGTATATCACGGTTGGTTGTCGATGACAAGCTAAAGCGGAAAACGCGTCATCCCAACAGAATGTATCTCGTGACAGAAATTGAGCCTAGCAAAGTCGCAGTAAAAAATTTCTCAACCTCGATATGTGTGACATGTAATAAACCTTATTAATATACTGTAACTAATATACTGTAATAATCTCCTTTATGGCCGATTAATGTTTCAAAATTAATAAACTTTATCTTAGAATGTTTTTAAGGAGAACTTCAGCATAATTTAGAATCAAATTAACCAACACAAACGAGAGTCAGTTCTGTGTGAATCACAGGAAATCAAGCTTTCTAAGCTTAAGCTGCACGAAGTAGTGTGTGGAAATAAATTTGTAATTTTGTCGAAGTCGATAGAATTTATATACGCGTTTAAACACGCATCATGCATAATGTATGCATTTAAAACGGATGGTGACCGGCTTGACTTCGCAAGTATTCCTAGCAACATAATACATTTTCTAGTCCCAGTTGCATTTAGTAGTATTTAAAGAAAAAATTCGCGAGAGAAATTAACATTAGTAACGGGTCCGGTACAACCGGCTCGTTTGCAAGTTAATTTTGTTTTGTCGTAAATAAAGTCTTGAATACAGAAATTATTTGACAGCCAAAAGAACGATAAATATCTATTCAAGAGCGTGAATCTATTCTATATACGCATGAACTGATAATGCAGTCGCGCGTTGCAAATTGTCTGGACATAAAATACAGACTTAATTTGAAATATAATATTGGTGCAAGAAAATGTAAATTAAATGTAAATGTATATTGTATATTGTATAAAAGCAGTTAACAGTTAAGTTACTTCATAAAAAATTTGATGTATCTAAAAAGTTCTATAAATAAAATTCAAAATAAACATTAAATATTATCTTTGGTCAAAAACATTAATATTCTTTTATAAGAGCAATCTTTTATAGAAAAAACTGAATTCCTTTAGTCGACGGAATAAAATTAATCAAGATTTTGGTAGGTCTTTTAAATCAATATATATATACAGATACAATATACATATATGTATATTGTGGCAAGAACAAATGTAAGTAATCATTTTTATATATTATCTGATATAATAATAATAATAAAAACATTCGCACATATTCGTACAATTAGTATCTCTTAATGTTTTATAAATGTAAACAAGATTATTCGCGATATTAAAAATTGCAAACAATTTCTAGCAAATTTCGACTTACCCTTCAGCTGCGTGGTCTCGATCGCGAACATATTCAGCGCCAAGAGCTGAAGTAAACGAGTACCAGGAAGCGGTAGTGGCGAGTGCTGCAACAAAGCTCTGAATTCCTTCAACATCTGAACACCAGCTTCTTGAAAAGTCTCCATTCTGAAAAAAAGTACAATCTTTTTGATATTCTTGTCACGCTTGTACTTTGTAGCATTAAAAAGTCGATTGGTTCTACTATATTACTTTAAATATCGATGTTGAGTACAATCGACGAAAAATCGAGTAAATTAAGGAAATATTAAATAAATAGTAATTTAGCTACAACATATACATCCCACAGCTAAATTTCCATTTATTTAATTTAGCGTTATCGATAAATTAAATTTTAATATTAATCGTTATCGATGTATATGTGAACGGATATATGTGAAGAGATCGAAAATTACAATTTTAAACAATCAATAAATTATGTTTGCATCGTTTTAAACGACGAAAGATTCACGTATATGTATAATTCAAAATAACACACAATCCGTTTGATACCACTTAACAATATCCGTTAAAATCTTATATATTGAGTGAACAGAAAGTTTGGTCGTTTCATTTTTGCTAAAAGATAATATAAACACATTAAATCAGAACAAATTTTCTGTTCAACTAAATATTTTCATAATTAAAACTTAGACAGAAAGAATTTCTATAGAACAATGGCAAAATTCATATTCGTATCTTTTTTAATTTGTAAAATCAATCAGTTATTTTCAATCAACAAAATGAAACATCACAGCAAGTAACAAGTAATTCAATATACTATCTCTCTCCACTTTCCTCCATCTCTGAAAACTATATGCACAATGGGGACGATTAACGGCACGGGAAGCATTTCCCAACATGGGCACCCACGTAGTAAATATCTCCTTCAATCGATCCATCTCTAAGTAATCAAGTTTAAATCGAAATCGGTGAATCTGCGACCCACGTCGGCGGCTAATCCGAGACCGGTGATAAAGGAGGACGAAGGTTGGCCGCGAGGTCTAGAGCCGCCGAGGGGGCATCGTCGTAAACACGGCAACGGGAGATCTCGCATAGCGGACGCTATCTTTCCCACAGCCTCTTTTCGCGTGGCGTACCGTCCACATACATTTATATATATATATATATATAT